GGGTGGCCGAGGGCTCCTGAGGGCTGGCCAGCAGCCCAAGGGCTGTCCCACCTTCCACGTGCACCAGCCTGCACCCCCAGTGGTATGGAACAGCTCAGGAGGAATCACGGCCCTGCACCGGAAGGAACTAGTGATCACGACGTGGAAACACGCAAGGGGACTTCACAGAACCCCTGCCCGCCATTCTTTGCGGGAGCCCGTTCACGGCTCAGTATTGTTAAAGACTTCCTGCCCTCTGTCTCGCTGCTCCCCTGTCCCCACAAAATGACATTCACTCACCTCCCGCTGCTCCTGGCATGGGGACAGTCCCTGCTCTGTGTCTGTATGTCTCCTAACAGCATGGAGCCTCGGGATACCGAAACAGTAAAACCAGTGAAGAATAAGCCGTGACACGCGAGGTAACGAGCCAGCGTGTGAAAAGCCTGCGAGCACGGGAGCAGCTATCGCTGCCCCTAACGGCACGAGCCACCCAGCCAACAAAAACCAGGCCTCCGGAGTGTATCCCGAGGACAGAGAGGCAAGTGCAGGTCAGACAGGCCTGGAGCTGCCAGTTCCTCGGCATCACAGCAACACAAACCCGCACACCAGTTCAGCAGCATCGCGCCAGGAGTCCGTGCCAGCCAACACCCCAAGTTCTGCGGTGACATGACGTGCTGCTAAATAAAAGGGATCCTTGAGACACTTCTCACTCCCTTTCTTTATTGACTAAGGCTGCAAGTGATAGCACCCAACCTAGAGCACACTGGGGAGCTTCCTCTTGCCAGGCTAAACCAGGAATTTCTTTCCACAAGGTTCTTCCCTTTCCTGTGGTTCTACAGGGAATCTACAACTCCATGTAATCTACAAGGGATTAAGGGAATCTACAACTCAGGGAATCTACAACTCCCTCCTGGGCCTTGTGTAGCAGCATTTTGCCTACAAGCAGGAGGTGCACACCCCTAGCTGCGCCTCACTCCGATTTACATCTGCTGTGGGGACCAGGTGTGTGTGCACCGGTCTGGCTGTGTTCGTGGGACCTACCCCACTCCCTGCCCACCCAGCCAGGCACAATCGCATCGCCGCCTGGACACGTGGCCTCCTGGCAACTGCAGCGTAAAGATGTTTTGGGCCTGAATCTTTTCACTCTGGAATACACGTCAGAGTACGGGGAGGACGCAGCAGTGCTCAGGGATGGCTCAGGTGGCACTTCCAGCAGGAGCTGGACACTGGAGGGAGTGGGGCCTCCTGCGTGAGAGCACATCTCCCTCCAGTGCCCACTCCCAGCAACAACAGCCTGTTGCTCCCGGCTGCTCTCCTTCCTTCACCTGCCAGGTCACCTCTCCGACAGACACTGGGGGCCCTGAGCAGCCCGGCCTTGGCACTGCCCTCACCAGCCCCTGCTCTGCACACAGGAAAATCTCCGTGTAAACCTTTGGAGACAGGACTGCTGCTTTGGAAGTGAGATCTGGATAGGCTCTCCCCAGAAAGGCCTCCCAAGGGAGAGAACTTCACCCTGAGAACAGGTCGGGGCTGGGCGAAGTCACCATCATTGACAACATTTGTTCCTTATTCAACAGTCAGGCCAGGCAGGCAGCTACATTCCATCATAACCCATAGATGCAGCTTGGCTGCAAAACTGCCTCTCCTTCCGCTGAGCGCTGATCTGCCACGGCACCTGGGGATGGCCGAGGGCACGGCTCCGGCTCTCGGGACTATTAAAGCCACAAGGACACCGTGTTTCCGAAAGCCCATACCTGCACACCTCCCCTGGCAGCAAGGCCGGCAGGCAGGCAGCTACATTCCATCATAACCCATAGATGCAGCTTGGCTGCAAAACTGCCTCTCCTTCCGCTGAGCGCTGATCTGCCACGGCACCTGGGGATGGCCGAGGGCACGGCTCCGGCTCTCGGGACTATTAAAGCCACAAGGACACCGTGTTTCCGAAAGCCCATACCTGCACACCTCCCCTGGCAGCAAGGCCGGGTCTCAAGGTTAGCCAGGTGTGCTCAACTCACCTCCCCCCAGTGACACGAGCACATCATCGAGGCAAACGTGAAATCCCACGTGCTCACAATACATTTGTTTTACTGAACCTCCTAATTACTTTACATGCTCTCCCTGGGCTACAAAGAGAGACATAAACAGATTAACTAAATTAGGCCAATTAAAGGTTCCCTAATGGAATGAAATGTTTCAGGGAAGCTTGAGAGAGAAGATGGGCAGGGAGAAGTGAAAGACAATGCAATGTCAGGTAAACCAACCAGGGCAGGAACACACTACTTCAAAAATTAAGGTTCACAAATAAACCACATTTCACCCCTTGTGTATCTCCAAGGGTATTCCAGTGAACACACTATTTATAGAAGCATAGAATCATGGAATGGTTTAGGTTGGAAGGGACCTTAAAGACCATCTAGTTCCAACCCCCCTGCCATGGGCAGGGACACCTTCCAGTAGACCAGGTTGCTCCAAGCCTCATCCAGTCTGGCCTTGGACACTTCCAGGGATGGGGCATCCACAGGACAAAGGTCCTTTAAGTATCCTGGAAGGCAAAGCATCTACCCTGGATGTCACACTTTCTCACACCATCCATATGCCACAGCAACAGTGCAGCTTTCTGCAACAGGAAGTCTGGAAGCTGCTTCTCTGGGGACGAAGGATCACTGTCCCAGGAGATGAAAAGTGGTGACATGGGGATCCCAAACTAGGATCTGACAGCCAAGACAGAGCTGGGGAGTTTTGCAGAGAGGGAAGTGCATGGCTGCCCAGCACCAGCCTGCAGCCAAGACTCCCAGCACCTTGCAGAGCCAGGACAAGATCAGATCCTCGTTTTCTAGCAGCGACACCGCAAGCAAAGGCTCTTGCCTAGGGTGGGAGCCCAGGGCCACATGCGTGGGTCCTTACCTGCCTCTTCCCATGGACGATGTCCTCAGGGAGGCTCGTGTGGATGAGGCTGTGCACTTCCGTCAGTTCCGTGATGTCTCCCAGGGGCACAGGTGTGTCCTCCGTCAGTGGGGACATGAGGGACTCCAGCTCATGCGATTCCGAGGTGGCACTAGGAGCTGCCGCCCCCTGCCTGCTCCGGTGGTAGTAGGTGTGGTTGCCAGCTGCCTGGGAATCCAGGCCTGGCAGGGCCTCCCTGAGGGAAAACAAGCAAGAGCTGACACCACTTATCAGCCTCACTCTCCTCTATCCCAAACAGCCATGGCCTGCCAGAGAAGGTGACCCACTCCACGCCACTCAGCCTGTCCTTGTGGAAGCCACGAGGCCCAAGGCCTTGCCCTGCGGCTCGTGAGGAAGGGGATCCTTCATCCACATCCTACTGCAACAGCTTTTGCTGCAGTAACCTCTCCCCAGAGGCATCTCCACACCACCTTCCCTAATCCTAAATTCAGGCAAAGCACAGTGCTGGATGCCAAGCCCTCCCCTCGCCAGCGGATCACAAATGCAGCAGACAACAGATGCCAGCGCTGGAGCAAGCGCTCGCTAACCCCTTCCTGTGGGGAGGTGTGTCAGTCCAGTCAGCTCTGCTCTACAGGTAAGAGATGCAACAGTCAGAAAGGTTTGGTGGCCACGTTCGGACAAGATGTCAGAAGTTTCCTATTCCTAGTCCTGAAATCTGCTGCCAGCTTAAAGCTCTCCTCAGCAACTAATCAGCTGTTTTCCAACCACAGTCTTTCCAAATACTTACGGCTGGATTCAGCCCCCCTGGGCTAGCAGGGGGCTTTGGCCTGAGTCCAGTCCTCCTCAAACCAGCCTGTCACTCACCAGGAATTCTTCCATCATTTTCCCAACCAGAAGTTAACAAGCCCTTTCCAAACGTCCTTAGAGCTGTCCAAACTCAGAAGCAGAACACTGCCCACGCTAACACACAGGTAACAATCTGGCAAAGAGTGGGTTTTTCCCTTTCCCCTCTGAAAAAACCCTATCAGTCCAACAATGCAAATGAAAGAGAAACTACTGAGAAAATAAATCAGTGAACAGATTACACTGTTTCCCTAGCTAGCCAGCACTTCCAAGACTCCATCTTTGTATTAACTGATGTCACACACTGCAAACCCAACGGCCCAGCTGAACGCAGGGAAGCAGGTCCGAGCGTGTTCTGTGCCCTGCCACGCCAGCCTCCTTTCCCCCCTGCAAAGGCGAGGTGACACCTACCTCTGCTTGCTGTTGCGGAAGCTGGCACACATGCAGAAGAGTATGCAGAGCAGCCCCAGGCAGACTCCCACGATGATTCCCGTGACAGAGTGGATATCCAGAACATCTAGCAGAGGAAGGACAGACACGTCACATTTCAGCTGCTAGCGGGAAGAAGGCACTAAATGTCTCGTGTGCAGGGAAGCCCCAGCCTCACTAAAGTCAACAGGTGATGCCTCTATACGCAGGAAGGAAGATCACTTGGCAGTGATAAAGCAGCTTAAACTGGCACATTCATTAACTTCACGCTATGCAGGTCTAACAGAAAGGCAGCAAGATGCAGGTTGCGTGTGCCCTTCCACTGGGGCTGGGATGGGGGGATGAGAGATGGAGTTCTGTGGGATGGGTTCTGGAGCTGCCCGAGGCCTGTGGAGCTGCACCTGAGGACTCCGCCACGATCCTCTGCGCCGGCCTACACACATCTCGCACCCTGCGCGGTGACGTCAAGCAATTGCTCGGCAAACAGAAACACTGTGGCTGACAAATCGCAGTCTGCAGCCACGCAACTCACTTCCGGCATCAGGACAAAGGGGAAATTCGTACCAGACAACTTCTCCCGGAGGGTGTGCACATCCTTAACATTTGAATAGGGACCCGATCCCACGACTGTCTTTGCTCCCATCTTGAAGAAGTATCTGGTATCACTTTCCAGGCCGTGCACTTCAGTGCTGAAGATATTTCCTGGGCAAAAGCAAGTCAAGAGAGGTTTAAAATGTGCACTTGCAAGAGTATTCAGAGGCTGTAGCAAAGCAGCAGGGGAATACTGTTGGACCATGAGAAGTGAGGGATTTTGTGTCATGAGTTCTAAGAAGAAAGTAATACACCTCTTTGGTATTAATGAACTTGCTGCTTAAAGAGGTGATGATACAGAGAGCCCGTGGTGTTGCTGGCATACACTCTCCTAGAAATTACTGGCTGCCAGCCTGTATCTGCAGGGTGTTTGCTGGAGGGTAATGGCTGTTTCAGCCCAAGACATGTATGATTTCATGTCTCGCAGTAGCAGTCGTGTCCCTGGACTCTCCTATACGACCAGGTTACACTCCAAGAAAGCTGGCAACGTGAGCTCTTGAATGTTTATTTGTATGTGCCCAAAGCAAGGCCAAAATCAGAGCAGCAGGACAGACCAACCAGGGCTCCGTAGGCAGAGAAGATGGCAGGAAGAGGAGGAGGTGGGGCGTTATAGTACGTCGAGGAGGCTCACCTTCTCGCGTCAGCAAGGTCCACATGTCATCAGGCTGCGTGTTGTTGGCATTGTACAGGATAAGGTACTCCACGATGATGCCGTTGGGCTCGGCGGGGGGGCACCAGTGCACCTGGACAGCGTAGGGGTTGAGCGGGTGCAGCCGCAGGTCAGACGGGGGAGTGGAGGGCCCTGGCAGAGACAAGGAAAGACCCAGCATGGAGATAAGAAAAGGCAAGGAGAGCATTCAACTTGCAGGGCATGACGACCGCTCTGTGCCTTCCCTGAATCCTTCTCAGCGGTGCCACAGCCTTGTTTGCAAGCACGAAATGATGGGCAACCCGGCCAGACACCTCCCCCAAACAGGCTGCGGAGAGCGCAGAGGAGGCTGCTGAGCCCAGTGCAGAGCAGGACTTGTGCAGCACGGCCAACCAGCCAAGGGAAACATGACAGCGGTGATGTTTAAGGTTGTGCTACATCGCTCATCTTTGACACACTATTCCTAGCATGCCCTTGCTCCTTGTTGCCGCCTTCTCCATCTTCCCAAAGCCCTGCTGGCACCGCAACTAGTCCCAGCTTGGGGTAGGACATGCAACACCTCCAAAGGCCATCGCTAACGCTCTGTGAAGCTGAATACCGCAGGAGCTGTCACAGAGTAAGGAGCTAACCCACTGCAGCTCCGGGATCATCTCTGCCTCCCAGCCTTCACCAGGCCTGACGTTACGAGGCAGAGGTCCTGTCGGAAAACCAGGCTAGGAAAGGCACTCTTGTCCTGACAGTGACCTTCAGCACTGGGGAGGACCTAGTGCTTAATCGAGACACTATCAGCTCTAACGATCAGCTCTGAACCCAGAGGTAACCCCACAGTAACAGTAATTGTTCCCCCAATTCTCTTTACACGCTCCTCTCTGCTTACAAAGCAGCACTCCTTTAATGGGCTTGGGAAAGCCCCAGCATGCTCAGCAGCTCTCAGCTTGTACTCAGGGGCATCCGAGCTCAGAGGTGATCCGAGATCACATCTCTCAGGAGCGCATTAGGACCTGATAGAGACGCAGGGAAAGCAAGGAGAAATCAGCATTCAATTCCCATAAATAC